AGCTATGAATTTTTGGGATTCTTCAGGACCCAAACATTGTAGCCACATTTGATCAATTGATCTACAATATAATGTGTTATTTACAAAGGCATATCTTAGTGCTCTTTTGGATATTTGTGATGCGGTAGATTTATCTTATGGTAATCAACCTTTTTTAAAATATGCAATGAATGGCTCTCTCCATTCACTCTCATCCAATATATATAAGCTCTCTGATGTTTCTTTTCCTTCATCATTTTGTAAGGAGGATGCTATTTTAGAAAGTTATGATGATTGGATCCTCTTGAGGATTTGTCATTTCTTTTGCTAGCTTTGCCGGCGCATCGGCTTTGCCATTTTCATCACGTCTAATCCTAATTAGGGTTGCCTAGATGATTTGTTGTGATAGCTTCAAAGCATACTCATGATATGAAAATTAGCTTGAGCTTATTAATTTCAAAAGCACCTAGTATTTGTTTAATTATAAGCTAAGAATCTCTATATATATTGAGTTTCTAAATTTTTATATTAATTGCTAGCTCAAGATCCGTAATCAGCTCTTCATATTCAGCTTCGTCATTAATGCAAGGTTTTATTAAGCTATACGAGTATCGGAGGATGCCTCCTTGCAGGGTTATAAATATAAGACCTATGCCAACATGAACAATTGGGATATTAGGTGGCCAAGCTAGCCTTATTGACAAAACTCCGTCGAAATAAAGCTCCCATTCTTGCAGGCTTTCTTTTTCCTCCACTTTGTGTATTTGCTCACTGGCAACTCGTCATTAAGTGGAGAACTTATAGGTAAAAGATGGGCAATGAGAAAATCAGCCAATGGCTGTCCCTTCATAACCTTTTGTGGTGTATAGGCTATATCAAATTACATTAATAATGTGACCCATCTAGCTAGACGACCTGTAAGATTGGGTCTAGTCATTAAAAATTTTAACTGGACGATTTTAGATATCAAGGTTATTTTATGAAATGGAATATAGTGCTGCAGCTTTTTTGTACCAAAAATTAATGCTAAACACAACTTTTAAATTAGCAAATATTTTGAACTTGCCCCTATTAGTCGACAACTAATATAATAAAGAGCATTTTTTTTTGCCATCTGCATTATTTTGTGCTAGAATGCTCCGAGTGATTCCTCCAAAGTTGTTGTATATAAAATTAAGGGTTTTCCTGAAACGGGAGAAGCAAGGATTGGATGGTGCAGCAGATATTGTTTTACACTATCAAACGCCTACTGACAAGCATCATCCCACACGGAAGAATTATTTTCCTTCATCAATCATGTGAAGGGTTTGCATCTCCTAAATGATAAGATATAAATCTTTGAATATATATCAATCATTCTTGTAGTGAATGAAGTTGTCTTAGAGGTTTTGGAGGTGGCATCTCCACTATCTATGGCGTACAATAAATCTAAGAAATTTTCTGGATGACACACCAAAAGCACATTTCAGTGAATTCATTTTAAAATTGAATTTGCAAATTCTTTCAAATATAATTTTGAGATCAAGTACATGTTCATGAAGAAATTTACTTTTTACAACCAAATCAACATAGCACTCAACATGCTTATTTATAAGATTATCAAATATGTGGGTCATCGTTCTTTGATAGGTGTCTATCAAAGAACGTTCAAGCAAATGGCATAACTTTATAACAGTATATACCAAAAGACGTTCAAAAGACTGTGTGTTTTTAATCATCTGGGTTCATCTTAATCTGATTATAACCTGACGATCCATCCATGAATGAGAACATATCTTGATTCGATTTATTATCGATCATAAGTTCTACATTGGGGAGTGAAAAATTGTCCTTTGGACATGCCTTGTTTAAGTCCTAATAGTCAATACAAATGTAAATTTGACCATTTGTCTTCTTTACTGGGACAATATTGGCAATCAAGTCAACGTATTTTTCTTACCGGATAAAGCTAGCTTATATAAGCTTTTTTAGTTTCGTCAATGACTTGTTCTTCAATTTCAAGTCGCATTAGGCTGGATGCCTGTTTGATAAGTGGCATTTTGGTATTGATGAAGAACTTATGTAGTGCCACCTCTGGTGATAAATCGGGCATTTCGGTGTAGCTCCACGCGAAACAATCTTTGAACTCAAGAAGCAACATTTTTTGTTCTGCTTTATCGTAAAAGGAGATTTGCATTAAGAAAGGTTAGCTTTAGGTCTTCTTCAGTACCTAAATTTATCACTTTGAGCTAATCTACATTGGCTTGACCACTTTCTTTGAACTCTCTTGAAGAGTCTTTTAGATCTACAATTAGATCTTCCACTTGATTCTTGAATTCAGGTGATTCTTTTTCCTTATCTACAACATTGTAGGATGTCGCGTACATAAGACATGGACGTCTAGGATATTCAATATATTTGTAGGATATTGCCTGAATGAGAGGTGAATGTCGAGCATATCCAAGACCCCATGTTTTAGATAAACTGTTTCAAATAAGCTTTTGCGCATGTTCATTATGCCAGAGATCCCTGAAATAACAGGATCGTTTGCTTGTTTTCACGAAGAATATATTTCTTTCAATGAGCCTTCATAAAAGGGGCAGAGGATATTAAGGAATGACTAGCAACATATCATCAACTTCCGAGTTATCTTCCCATTCCATTTCAAGAGTAATATGACTCGGTATTACCATTGATTCGTAAAAAAAGCTTCCACGTTCATTACGACCTCTTTTAGGGGGAAATAGCAAGTTTTTAACATTCTATGTTTATGTTTGATGAAGTGGTAAATTTTTTAAAATGATCCACTGGCATGTACACTATTTTGATGACATATATGAATATCTAACACTCGGATACCCTTATCATCAAAATTGATATTTTCTTCAATTTCTTGGTTATAGAACTAGGTACTAGGTCCCATTCATTTTGAAGTTTTGCAATATCCCCAGGGCTGATCATGGATTGCCTAATGAGCTGGATTTTAGCTTTCAATGCAAAGTTAATAGCCTGAGCAAGTGACCAAATAGAGTTCAATTCCAATTTATCTTGAATGCCATCCTTAAGCCAGCCAATGTACGAAGCAGCAAGTTGATTGTTGGATTCATTCATGTAATTTCAGGTACTCCACTTGTAAAATTCCTTAGTGTAGTCACTCACCGAACAATTTCTCTACGAGAAATGTTGATACTTCAAATACAACATATGTTTAATGTATGTTGGTAGGCAATTGCCTCGCAGCAACTATTTTAACCTATACCAATGTCAAACCTTCCCTTTCCTTCACTGCGACTAGTATATAGTTCAGCAAACAGATGAACCCCCCCCCCCCCTCCCCCCCTTCCTCCTCATAGTCTATAAACAACATACTTCACCTGTTTCTCAAGAGGCTATCTCTATATATTAGAAGAACATTTAGACATCATGCTCCCAATCTAAGTAATCCTCAATATGTAACCTTCAATAAAAAATAGGATGTCCAACTTGACATGAAATTCATGATGATGGAAAAAGTTATACGACGTCTCAATTTGGTATGCTCATTGTGGAACTCATCGTCATCAGATTACCTAGTCGGCAATATTAGCCTCTTCCTCATAATCATTAATTTTCCACCGCTAATAGTCGTCGCTGAACATCTCACTCGGGAAGCTATCCCCTTCTCGCTACATGTGTGGTTGTTGGTGCAATCATATAGTTTATGGGTTTTGATCCCCAATCCAATTTTAGATTTTGCGTTTCACACCACAGGAGCATTCCATAAGGCTTCTGGATTCGATCATCATCAACAGCCAGTCTTTTGCTGTCACCATTCTTTGCAAGTTCTGATACCAAACTGAAATCAGAGCACGAAAACAATGACAAAAAAACAATGACAAGATACGAAGTGGTTAGTGTTTCCTACCTTCTTTATTATAGTTTCCAGAGTTTTACGAAAACTAGCACCAAAACTAAAAAAGGTATCAAATAGTATTTATTGAAAGGGATAAAAGGATGGTAGAGATAAGAGAAGTGATAGTAAAGTGGAGAAAAATTGTTCCTTATCTGTATGAAACTCCGCATCAACTAGATTATGCTTGATGGGGGCGTGGGGAAAAGAAGACGAGAATGGTAGATTGATTTTCAAGAAGGTAAAGCTAGAAATGTACATCAGGATGGTCTCCACGTGATAAGGGAAATCAGTAGGAGCCTTTTGAAGAACGAGGCCAAGAGGAAACTAAATCAACAACAAAGGATCCATGCTGTGGGAAGATTTGGATGTCCAAGGGAAAATCATGATGTAGGCGCAATACAGTTACAAGAGAAGCGAACAATACAATGCGATGGAAAGGGATGGTGGAGAAGAAAATATCAAAATGCTGAACCAAGAGATTTAGAAACAAGATGCCTCCAAATGAAGGTCATACTAGCATAATTGCAAAAAATACAGGGCAAAGAAGTGAAAGCTGTGGAAATGAGGAGTTTCCAGTACATTATTTCCTCTCATTCCTAGCTTCTACAAGGCCTTTTTTTTTTTTTACTTGCCTTACCTAAGCAATATTGCCAGCTTTCATGTCAGTGTAAAATTGTGATAGCATCAAATAGTACAGAAATAAAAGAGCATGATATTGTAGATCAATGTATTTACTTCATTTTCTAGGTTTCATGGTGATAACATGTAATAGAAATGACCAACTTCTCCACTTTCTTAACTGAAGTCCGCATATTAAAGTACACTGGCATTGAACATCTTGAAACAGTAAAAAATGTGCAAAATGATGAAGTTTTTAATATATAATATGGTTATACCCCAAAATGAACAAAAATTTAGTCATTTTAAAGATGCCTTGTATGTTTCCAAATGGATGGATAAAAAGATTGTCAATTGATGGAATGAATCCATAATATTAGCAAAACTAAAAACAATTAAATAAGTGGGATTTTGTTATTAAAAATATTAATCTCGACCACTTAAAGGGAATAACATAAACCAAAGGAGTACTTCTATAACTTTAGGAAAAGCATGATTCCTTGGTTGATCAGCTACTGTTTACTAGCATCACCTGCATAAACGCCTTCTTCAGGAATTGTACCCCTTTCTAATGTATCCTTAGTGCCTCCATCTGTAGTATATCTGCAGAGCAAGGCCAACCTTAGCCAGCACTTACTAAGCAAAAAATAAAAGATAGCTTTCATAAAATTTGAAGTATATGGCCTCGACCAAACATTGCACCACAAAGGAGGAAGACCAATGAAAGACAAATAGCAAGCCAATGATGCCATAGAAATCAAATGACAAAAAGTACAACCTGAGTTTTAAGGTTTCACTATAACGATTTACTTCCTATGAAATGAGAAGGGGACACAAGTTGTAAATATGAAAAGCTATAAACGAAATTTTCAAAATGCCTTCCTTAATCAAGTTTTAAAAAAATAAATGAACGTTGAGGGTAGGAGTCATGTCTGTGTTTGAAAGATTTTTGCAAGTGATCAACAAACCAAAAAACTTGGGCAATTGGGAAGTCACCAATATAAAAAAGAAGCAACTCTCATCTTCTCAATTATGGTTCATTCTTACATTGTTACCATCTCCATTTCGTATGTAATCTTTACACAAATATTTCAATATCATCATATTCATTATTACATATGTTCACAAAAGACCGTCAGGGAAGTCCCATAACATGTTAAGGCAATTTATGTCTCTTCATGAAATAGCATGTCTCCCTATTATAATTGCAGCTGATGTAGAACATTATGTGAATAAAAATAATTAAATTAAAAGTCTGATTAGAGGAGCTAAGGCTAAAGCCCAAAGAAAAAAATTAAAGAAAATGCCAACTATAAGTGCCCAATAAAAAGACCATAATTTAGAAAATTTTAAATGTAATTTATATTTTATTGTATTATATTATTATTTTCTACATGGGAACTTGTTTGGAAAGACATAATATAGTTTGAGATGAATGAAGCATTAAAAATAGGGAATTAGAACTCATTTATCTCCATTTTTTTACTTCAAAAAGTTAATGCCTAAGAGTTGTAATATCTATAAATATTGGTTAATATACAATGTAATTTTCAATTTTAGAATGTAGAGAAGTTTTTTTATTTGTTTGTTACTTTGTGTCTTCACTTATGTGACTTTAGTTTTTTTTTTAAGAAATGCAAATTGCATTAAAAAGAAGAACTATTACATACTAGAAAGCAAAAACAAGCCCTATAAAACCATCATAATGGATATGCGATTCACTAAATCACATTTTAAATCCTTGGGGTGATGGGGACACCAAATATTGAAACAACCTAAAAGATTGGTTAGTATCCCAGAGTTCCCAAAAGATAGAAAGTGAAATCTAGTAAAAATGCCACATTCCATTACAATAATTTAAAAAAGGAAAAAAAAAACTACAAGAAAACCAAACAAACAAGAAACTACTATAAGAAAAATAAAAAGAACTAAAACAGCTGCCAAAACCTCAAAAGGACTGCCATCAACATCCTTTGAGATTAACGAGCTCCAATCAAGTGTAGAAACCACTGAAAACCTTAATGCAACCAACAACAACCACCATGGATGAACAAAACAATGTCGACGAAGCAATATCACCAACTCCCACATCAAGAGTCCAAGAATCGGCCTCTTCAACACCAAAGTCATGCAAACTGATAATCGCCATCACACACCTCACTCTGGTATTTAAAAAACCCGTAACATTCAATTCCTTCAAGTCTTGAACAAATAAGTCTTGTTCTACAAAGAACATCTCCATTCCCTCCAAGTCTTCAACCATCAAGACCTGAACTTCAAAGATCAAAGCAATGGCATCCATAGATCTAGTTGGGATATGATCCCATCTAAATCCATCAACAATACGTCCAACAACAAACACCTTGAACGATCCAAATAAAGTCGACGAAACAATAACACCGGTTCCAACATCAAGAGTCCAAAATGCAACCACAACACTAAAGCTAGCTCCAATACGTCTAGGAGGATCCAAACAAACTTCCATAAAAGAACCAAACAACATTAAATCAATCATTGCAATATCTCTGGCTTTACCAGACAAAGCCTTCCACATAGCTGCATAACCCGTGGCAATCATACCAAAATCTGCTCGTAACCTAACTTTTCCCTTTATAGAAAAAGAGAATACGATTCTTCTGTCCACAACCATAACGAACAGAAGAACAATGTATCCAAAAGTCTTCAAGAATCCATATGAAAACAGTTCTTCTAAATAGAAAGATCCACCTTTACCATCCAAACACCCAAACACCACCAATCTCTTAAACATCAACCGATCACACACCAAGAACACAATTAAAACAAATCTGGAATCAAGACAATCAATAAACCAGAACAACTCCAAACTCCAAAAACCACACATAAAACGAAATTTAACCAAGTAGAAGTTTCATCCCAAGAAGAACTATATGAAACGAATAGCCAACGAAAATCCTCCTCCAAAATCACCTTCAGATTTATAGTCTCACCAAAATCCATCAAGAATCTAAAACCAGAATAATAAACACAACCAGCACAACCGATAGCCAAATCAATCCAACGAAGAACCTATGTCGGGAAAAGCTCCGGCAAAACCGACTTCAAATCGGTCGCCTCCGCAAAAACGGGCCGAAGGAGAACCTCTGCCTAAAAAACTTCTCCGCAAAAATCCCACCAAGGAACTCCGTCGGCCATACCAGGCCGACAAAGAACCACCGAATGCAAAAGCTCCGCCAAAATCGCCAAGAACGCCTCGTCTCTGCCAAGAACACCTCGTCTCCGCCAGCTTTGGAAAAAAGGGAAAAACAGGTTTCTCACCTCTTATCTGCAAAAACAAAAAATTTAGACCATTTCTCGATTTATGCGTGTCATCTTTACGCAAGGGCCATGCTAATCTTCTCTGTATCGTTCCAATTTTATCGGATGTCTCTGTATCGAAAGCTCTTATGTGACTTTCGTTTGGTGAGAATAGATTAGTTATCTTTACTTCCTTCAAGTTATTTATCACTCATCTTTTAACACATGCTCTAAATTCTTTGCACATCTTCCTCCATTTTGTAAGCATCCTCAAAAACAATAAACCAGCGAGACACTTTAATATATGTTTAGATCAAATTGCAAAACTTAGGTGACTATAGTTTAATTTTCTTGTATTCATTTTTTTATTACAAACTTTTATAGTTTGTTCATGTGCTTTAATCCACCTTATAAAAATCCATATTACTCATCAAATTCCAAGTCTTAATCTTAATTGCTAAGGCCGGTTAAAACCTATTGTTTTGCTAGACTGAAATGCAGTAGACATCCTCATCTTCAAGTCAAGTCCATGCTTACTGGATTTGGACATCCGAAGGGGAATACCTATTAGGTAGAAATTGGAGTTTAATTTCAAGACAGATTGCATGAATTGTGGCTTACCACAATTCCTAAAAGTTGGTGCTTAATTTCAAGATTGCAAGAATTGTGGCTTACCAACTAAACTTTGTAAGTCTTCTCCCTACCATTAAATTAACTCCTTCAAATTAACCTTAACTCTTCTAATTATCTTAAAAGAGTCCCCCATTTACAAATTGATCACATCAGTGATCTAAACCCCACCACCCATCATTATTAATATCTTACATAAAATGCACTCCTTAAAGTGATCTTCCATATCAACTAACAGGCCATGAAGCAAGTTTTATTGATAATACTATTTTTGTTTTTAATTATATCTAATAGAATATTAAAATTAATAATTAATTAAATATTAATATTTTTAATTAATAATTAATATTACGGTGAAAATTAATTTAACAATATTTATTAGATTAGCTAATTAATTAATTTAAATTAGTTTATTTAGCATAATAATAATTATGAAAATTATATATTTAATTAGATTAAACAATTAACATATTTTCATCATACACATAACATTTCATGCATACTTAATATTTTATGATTAAAGTTGGCCTTCTTGATTTATTTCGTGTTAAATTTAGTATTAAACAAATTATGAAAATGGCAGTAATTAAGTATATAACTTATTTAGTATGTTGTAATCATTTGCATTACATGTCATGCAAAAAAAAAGGTATTATAACTTGAAAATTCTTGCATGCATCATCAACTATCATACATTCCAAAATTATATATTTTTTAAATAAATCTCCTTTTCCATTTAATACTATTTTAATATTAAATAAATCAAGGAAAATTTTATCTAAAATATAAAAACTAGTTGTCATAATTTCATCATGTATGTGATTTATCATGCATAATTTCATGCATTATAAAATAAATAAATATCACCATTAAAAAAAGCATGCATGCACTATTTCATGCAATTACTTTAAGAAAATTATATAAATCATTGTTAGAATTTTAACATCATCATCATTATTTGAATATTTCCAAATTACTTAGAGCAATGCCCTAAGCTTATTAGGATTTTATTCTCATGCTACTCAATGTGTCTGCATTCCACATATCCATCTAAGACCTCCTGACTTCACTTTTCAAATGTGATTAGAAGGGTTAGTGGCATTATTGACTCAGGTAAGATATAAGTCCATTAATATCGAGCTTCTTGGTCCTTATTTGACCAAGTTGTAATTCTCATGTGTGGGTGTCTTCTACAATAT